TTGCTCTCATGTCCTTGACTTGGCCAAGAAACAGTTCATTATCTGTGATCTTAAATCTATCTTCCCTGTTTCTCCCTCTCTACCACCCCACACAGCCCTCTTTTCTCTTTCTATTGATCTAGAAACTGTGGTTTGTCACTCAATCACCCTCTTGCAAATATTGTCAGCACATATTGGCCTTTTTCTCACTGCAGTCAGTAAAACCTTAGCCCTGGATTAATCCACCTGTCTGCCTTCTTGGCTACTGATCACTACAGTGGAAAATCAAACATCCTCACAGACTGGCATCCCCCAAATCCATAATCTTTAGTTTCTGATGGATTTCCAGTACTGCCCCTCAAATTTTCTTTGTATTGGTAGTTGGCTTCCTCACTCCACAGTTTTCCAAGTCTCTCTTCTCCTTAGATCCCGTCCCATGCCATTTCCTACCTGCTCTCAGAAGATGTCATTCAGCCGTTCACATATAAACAGTATTTGTCTCATAAAAAGTAATTTGATTTCCTATTCCTACTTTTACAGACTTGTAGGCACAAACGTTGTCCCTTCCTCCTGCCCTCCCACATTCCTACAAGAGATGTCTGCCTTCCTCAAGGACCTAGTTTTGTCACTCATGCCCTTTATGAATTACATTTTCAAACTTTCCTGGCTTCTTTCTGTCGTGACCAAATATTTCCCATCTAAAAACATCTTAAAAAATCAGTACATCAGTCAATTCCATTCTCCATTTGTTTTCTTTTTATTTTCTCTACTCTTTTCCAAAGGCAAATCTGTTAAGTTTCTGGCACTTGCTACATCTTCTTCCTTTAAGGATATTCACTATCTCTGTCCTTCTCCTTAACACTGCCCCATCAAATTGACTAATGCTCTCTATGCAACTAAATCCAACGACTTCTTTTAAGGACTCATCTTACTGGACAGTCGTCTCTTGAAAAACTGTCTTGCTTTGGCTTCATTTGAAACCTCATAATCTTGGTTTTCCTTCTGTGTCTGTAGTTGTCTTTCCCAATCTTTTTTTAGGTTTCTTTCTCTGCCCATTTTGTATTTTCAAGGATCTGCCTACTTCTCTTCATTTTAAGCACATTCTTTGGGTGACATGACTTAATTCCATGGTGATATCTTTAAAAATCATCTGTAGCTAAGAACTGTCTTCTAGGCTCCAGACACATGTATCCAAATATTTATTGATTCTTTCCATTTGGATGCTTCATGGACATCTCAAGCTCAACATGTACCACACTGTACTTGGCCTCCCTCCTCCAAAACTTGATCATATGTCCCAGGAAATGACACCTCAGGGCACTGAGTTTCCAGGAACTTAAGGAACTACCTCAACTCTTCTCTATCCTTCTATTCTGACAGCCAGTCAGTTAACATGTCACAAGTTTATTAACAATCCATTCTCATTTCCACAGCTTGAGCACATACTAGCTTCATTTCATGCTTGGGTTCTTAAGTTATGGTTTCCTTTTCTAGTTTTGTGCCTCTTCAATGCATCCACCACAGTGAATCCAGGTGGTCATATCAATCTCCAACTTAAAACTCTTTAGTGTTTATTGCCATCAGGATACAGCTCAGGTAAGCATACCTGTTGGTTTTGCTCCCATCTTATTTCTCCAGCCTTGTTTTCTTTATTCCCCATCTCTCTTTATGTGTCTCTGCCCCTTTGGACCATCTATATAGTTCCCTGAATTTTCCATACCCAGCTAACAATGAGCCTTGTATATGCTGCTCCCTTGGTCTGAAAGTCCTTCTCCAACTTATTGTTCACTTGGATAATCTTCGTGTAACAGTATGTCTCCAGTTAGAGGTTTTTTTTCTCCTTTTCCTGACTTCTCTACTACTGTATGTTGATTTTTTTCTTTGTGCCACCACAGTACCTTGTAACAAGAACAATAAATATAGTTGTGGCTAATAATACTATTATACATATTATTATATACATTATATATTATAAATAATAAGATATATATATATACAATAAATATAACTTATTTTATGCCTGGATCTGTTCTCAGTGGGCTATGTATCTTAACACCTCTAATGCTCTTTATGAGGTAATTATTATTATTTCTTCAGATAAGTAGTATAAGCCACAGAGAAGTAATTTTCACAAGGTTCTACAACTTAGTGATATAAGTAGATTTTTAACTTGGGCACCTTATTGGAGAATTTACAAACTTAAGCATCACATATTTGTCTATATAGAAACAATTTTGACACTGTGTTGTAATCACCTGTTTGTACCTAAATTCCTAATTCAACCCTAGGTTCTTGTATCCCTAGCCCCTACCACAATTATGGCTACATGGTATGCTTTCAATAAATATTATCTGAATACATAAGAGAACAAAAAGAGTCCTTGCCTAAAATCAGATTTACCCTGACCTAGCCTCCATGTCTGTATTTCATTCCAAGAATGCCAGGTGACTGGCTACCATCCAATCACCCTACACATTTTTGCCTCCAAGAGTTTACATATCCTGTCCTGTTCCCTCATGTGCCTTTCCCACTCTTGTTCAACTGCTAAAGTCCTATTCATCCTACTCAATCCAGCTTAGAATTCACTTCATTCATGACCTTCTTTTTAGATTCTAGATTTTGGTTCCTTCATACTTTACACATTTAAACATCGCCAGAAATGACAACGACCATAACAGCAATATTAAAATAGACCAGGATATTTTTTATCATTGGTCCACTTTTTATGCATCTTTGTATCCAAGTACTTGCGTGTCGTGCCTAGCACTCAGAAGGTATTCAATAAGTGTTTGAGATCAGGTTGATTGAATGATATTAGGTTGGGTTGTGTCTCTGCACATTACCAAGCAGACATTTTGAACTCACATTCATTACTGCAGTTTAGTCAGCTCAGGCACTGGCAAAGGCCCGATAATTATTTGAGTTGTCTAATATGGGCATATTGGAAAACATGAGCAGAAGCTGTTACAGCACCTTTGTCTATTTTAGGTTCCTGACTTGGTCAAGGGTTGAGCAAAGGATACACTATTTTTCAAAAGTCATTCAAGTTGTGCCCATTGACAAATGTTTGGAAGGTAAGTCTATTTTCATTTAGCTGGAGACCAAAGATGCCAAAGATGTGTATGCACGTTGATAAAATGTCAAACCACCATTCCAAACTTATAAGGTGGGAGTGATTGTAACACTCCCCACCCGCCATGTTTTTTTTTTCTGTTACTTCTATCTTAGTTCCTTCCTTTGTACTCTACAACTGGTATGTCATTACTCTTTTTTATTCTAATAATATCATAATTGGGTTTTCTAACTACCCTATTCTAACTATTGTTGTCTTTTTGATCCTTAGGCACACACAAAATTGCCAGATTAAGTGTCTTCAAGCACTGCTTTGATCAAGTTATTTCTCTGCTAAAGAACTTTCAGTGATACTTGTCTATGGAGTTAGGTGGGAGCTCCAAGCAGCCAGGTGTCCAGCCTCAATTAATTTGTGTAAGAGCCCAACCAATGGCTGATATTTTGGAAGTGCTCTTGATGTTTCCTTTTCATTGTTGTTGTTGTTTATTTAGTTCTTGAAAATGAAATCAGAAAACCTAATTGAAGGAAAGTTCCAATTTGTGTCTTTCATTCACTATGATGAATATTGGTGAATTATCAAGATTGGAAGCCACATGTTAAATAAAGCAAAGGCCATATGCATTGAACAAAGTATCTTCCAGGGGATCCCATGTCCTAAATGAAATAGGCACATTAAGATATGACAGGTAATACACTTTGGGTAAGATAAGTGATATTTTAATTAATGACAATTTGTAGAGATCTTTAAGAGAACCAAAGTGACTTCACAGCGGAAAGCTAACTCATTGTTTCTCCACTGAACTTCTAAGTGAGTATTCAGCCATGAGCATAATTAAACAAGTCCACAAGACATGAGAAACAGATTACCCTTCAAATGCTGGGTCAGGCAAACCTGGTGGTCAAGAACACAGTGTTCTCTGCTTGAAAAACCACTGTTCAGTTGCCAGACTTCACTGCCCCTTGGGCTCTTTCATTCTATTTCTGGCCTTCGTCTCTTGCTCTGTCACACCAATGCCCTTCTTGGTTTAGATTTTATGTCCTCATCATCTAACACATCAAAGGATCAAAGAGCCCAAAGTTCCTCAGGCTGCCAGTATTTTATTTAGTTAAAAAAAAGTCAACAAAACTGAAAAATTGTGCCCATTTTCCTCCTTGCAAGAAACCAAAATTCAAAATTAAGGTGAAAGCATAGACGAGGGTCTGTGCAGTTCAAAATAAAAACCAACCTCTTCATATACATATACCTTCTTACAAACAGCACCACTGAATTTTATGAAATGATGTAAATATTGCTAATTAAAATCCTCAAGATGCTAATGCGTTCTCAAATCAACCTCTGCCTCTTTGTTGTACGAATAAAGCACTGGCAGGTTCTCTTTCAATATCCAAAATACCATTTTTGGAACAAATTTGAACTTTTGATTCATTCAACAAACCATTATATTAAGCACCTACTATGTGTCAGACACTATGCTGGGTGCTGAGCAAGCAAAATGGAATGACTTTCTGATTTCAGCAGAATTCTGGTCTCTAAAGCAGTGCTTCTCAAACTATTTTTTATTAATCTGTGCCCTCTTTTGATAAACATGAATATCCTTCTCCCACTTCCCAGAAATTCTGAAGAACCCTTCTAACACTGAGAATCACTGATACACAGAACATAGACTCAATTTTCTGTGTATTCTTCCCAGACCAAATATCTTTGAGTTTTTACTTTTAATTTCAAAAGCAACATATTTATTTTCCATATACAAAACTGGGTTGGAACAGTAAAGATACTTTTTTTTTGAGCCACATAAGCTACCCTGCTCTCAATCCCAGGGCTGAAATTTAAATTCCCTGTCCCCAGCCCTATTGAGAATCACTGCTTTAAAGAGTTTTGGAGAAAAACCAGGCAACCTCCATCTCTCCCCTCCAATCAAATCTTAAAGGAATTAGAATTTTCCTACCTGACACAACAGCTGGTGGAGTATCATAATCCTGTCTTGGGACTGAATCTTTGAATGAAAAGAGCATGAGAAAGAATGCAATGAAGTACAAAAGAAAATAAAATAGAATCTTAGCTCTAAAACGTGGAAGTGCACACTGTATGTCATATGATTGCCTAAGCCCCCTGCCTTCCAACACTCAAGGGACTATGATCCCTAGTTCATAGTTGATACCATGGTCCCCAGTATTGTCACGTGGTATCTGTTGTTAGGCCCCACTGTGACCCACCACGGCAGTGCATGCTATCTTAGACAGCTGCCAGCTTCCTCAATCTGTCATCATGTGGGCCCCTCTCTTGGGAAACCAATGTGAAATTTTTACCCTCTCTGGTTGACACAAATGCTCTACCAGGTACTCCCCCATCTGGAAGGGGCCCAGAGCACAATGTGAAGCGAAGTTCTGGAGAACAAAAGAAAGGACCGAAATTTTAAAAGAGATCAATGAAATCTTTGTATATTCCCACACTCTATGGAGACTGATGCACGTTGAGACTAGAATTTCATTAGTAATCACTCAGCTCTGGCTCCAATCCCAGTGGCTGTTAGACAGGGCCAAGGAGCTTTGTGTGCTGGGATTGCAAGAGCAGAGATAAACAGAACAGAATCTATTCGGCAGATGACTGGTGTCTTTTTCCAAAGTGTCAGAGCATTGGAAGTGGCAAATAGGAGGGAACGGTTAATTTAAACTACACCGCACTCATTTCACACTTTTGGGTTATAGGAAAACAAATATATTTGTTGTTGCTGATGGTTTTTTTTTTTTGAAGATGAAACTTTGGCTTAACACAATTCCTTTAAACAAGGATCTTTAAAAGGTAAGTGGGACATGGCTTATGGCCCAAGGCCTCCCTTCAAAAAACGCAAAGTTCTAATCTAGCCCCAACTCCCCTTAGAGACGTAAACTGTAAAAAGGACCAGATATTGCTCATATTCAAATAAACTGCTAAAACATGATTAAATAAATGCTCTTTTGTGACCCTTATTCTATTTACATACCAGTATTCATTGCATTTCTAAAAACTAAAACCTCAAACTTCATTTTTCTATCTTTCTCCATTTAATTTCCTTGCCACAAAAGGATGATATTAACCCTCTCTCAAAAGCAAATGGCATGTGAGAAGACAGAATAAAACTTGGACATTTCAAGGCACTTTGGACCAGCAAAATCCAACATGGACCAAAGATTCAAATGGAAATAAATCTTGGGGATGAGTTATTTTGTGTCTCAAAATTGGTATGTGAATGTGAGTTGATTAGAAGCCCCAAATCTAGAATAAGAAGAATAATTTTTAAAGGTCCTTAAAATATTTTATTCATAGCGATAGTATTTCCTAGTACCTTTAAAAAAAACTGTAATCACACATTATTACTACATCCTAAAAAATAAGTTGATTTAAAGACCATGTCACTAATCATTTCCCAAGAATATATTTGTAACATTTAAAAATAAATCATAAAAATAAATCATGCTCATTGTTGAATACTTGGAGAATGTAGAAAAGTAAAATGATTAAAATGGAAATTATCTCCAATCCCATCAGCCGGAAATAGCCACACTTATTGTGTATTTCTTACAGCTTTATTTCATAAATATTTTTTTCATAGTTGATACTATACTCCACACATGCAAATTTACATCCTGCTCTTTTGATTTAAGATTATAAATAATCCTTTTCCTATTTTAAACTCCTATAACTTGATGCTGCCTCACTTTCTGGTTCATGGATGGATTATGATTTATTTAATCATTCTACTTTATTAGACATTATAAAGAACACTGGGCCAGACATTTCCGAGGTCTGAAGGCTTTTCTGTTATTTTAGAATATCTCCGTAGAATAGCTTCTCAGAACTGTAACTGTGTGGTGAGTTGGCAGAGCTGTTTTGAGGGGTCTTAACTGCATCCCCTTGCTATTCAACTGACATGTTTACAAATTTAGATTTCTATCATCACACCATCAGTGGTTGAGAATGTTCATTTCCTCATACCTTCATCAGCAATATATTTTACCTTCGTAACTTGATTTAATGGGTTATGTGTGTGTGTCCACACTTCTGTTTCTTTAATTACTATTTTATCATATGCTTTTTGGCATTCTGTCTCTTCCTTTATTACCTATCTGTGCATGTTATTTGGCATTTTATCTATTGGGTCTTTTGTACTGGGTTGTTAATGTATTTGAATTCAGAAACCATTGTTTTAAACAGTAAAAACTTAATATTTGCAAATAAACTTTCACAATATTTGACCTTCACTTAATGCCTACTTATTTATTGTTTCTAAGACTACCATCAAAGTTCATGTATCATACTCTGAGGCTAAACAAATTTTTTTAAAAACACTTCCTTTTATCACTACTTTCTTTCTGATATTTGACCATATTTTAATTAATTGATACTTTCCTGGCAAGTATCCTCACTACCGCTTATGAATTTATAATACTAGTCCCTAATTCTGAGCCCACCTAATACCACGTGTTGCTCCTAATCACTGTCAGCCTTAATACTCATGTTCATAGCTATAGCCAATCTCTAAGCAAAATGAATAATTCAGGATTTTCACCTGAGATCGTTAGAATTTGACAGCAGTAAAAATGAAATGGGGTGACTGAAAAATGTAGAGAACTATGGTGAATAATGGACTACAATTAGAAGATATCTTTGTCAGTGACCATGGTGACACCGCGGGAAACCAGTGATGTCACAGATCACCAGTGGTCTGGAGAGCACAAACAGAACTGCAGATAAGGAACCTGCAGAACAAAAACTTTTTATTTCTTGGAATGGATTCTGGCGACACTGTAAGCCACTGGTGACCACCAACGGAACAAATGAAAAGGAGATAAGAAACTTGTAAAACAAGATTGCCATGCAATTTGGAGGTTCTCATAGCGCAGTGAAACCCCCAGTGGTTTCTGCTAAAGCTTACAATAGAGTGATAAGAAATTATGGATAACAATGCTTTGGTTCTATAGAGGGAATCCTGTGACAAAAGCTAAACAAAAACGGAGGAGCTAGAAAATTCTTCAAGGTCAGCAGAGTCCTGAGATAAAAAGTTACACTGCTTGCATACGATTCGTTTCTTTAAGGGCCCGCAGATTTTGTCCAGCTTAAAAATGGGTAGAGAGCCATCTGAGGTGGCAAATGGTAGGGAGAAGTTAATTAAACTACATGGTATCCATTTTAAAACTTGGGGTGATAGAGGATCAAAAATATCTAATTTTATGAAAGTAAAAAAGAGGCTTTGGTTTCTTTAGCCCAGGGATCCCAGAAAGAAAAGCGGGACATGACCTATGGCTTTAAGGACCCCCTTCTAGAAATGGAAATTTCTAATATAGCTCTAGCTCCAACCTCCATCAACCGTGATCCCTGCCCACTTTGGAGTATTCACTGGATCTCTCTCTGCTCTGCTTGGTACCTATCTGCCTCTGCCTTTGAGGTTCCTATGTCAATCTTGAGTTGTTACTGCTCGCAACTTGTTTTGCAGAGTTTCAGTGAGCTCAGAACATCTGAAAGCCTCTGAAAAGTTACAGGTAGGAGAGAGACATTTGTCAGATAATTTTAGATTGACCGGTTGTGGCGATATGGTAGAAATTGGATTGGAGCAAATGAGGGGCAATTAGGAGGCTATTACAATTAATCAAATGAGGCCCAGGGTAGAGACCCTATAAATGTGGAGGAGTGGATGTATCTGACAATTCTGTCTGTCTATGGGATAGAATTGGCGGATCTTGAAAAGTTGCATATGGTGGTGAGGGAAAAGGAAAGAGTCTAGATGGAGTTCTAAGTGTAGCATTTGACTGCCTGGGTAAATGGGCATGGGATTCTCTTGAGAAGAAATAAGGAGCAGCAACACATAAAGAGGAAGAGGGTCAGTGGAAAGGAAGTTTGGGGAAACTCACGAGATTAGTTTGGGTTGTACTGACTTTGAGATGTCAGAAGGAAATTTACATGGAGATATTTAGCAAGTTTTTGGTTAAATGGTTTTAAAAGTCTAAGATGAGGTTAGCATTGAGGACTCAGATTTAGGGGTGTTCAGCATAGAAGGCAGAGTTCAAAACCATGAAAGTGGATGAACGTGCTTAAGGAAATTATGTATGAATGAGAAGTTAAAAATGAAATCCTGGCTCAGCATCTTGTGAAAGAAAAGAAGAAGCAATGGCCAGAGACATCAGAGGAGAACCAGGAAACCGAGGGCAGAAACCACAAACTGAGAGGATTTAGGACAAACTGGTCTGATAGTCAAATATAGGGAGATTTCCTGTTAAAAAGCAAATACGTAGCTTAATCTTTAAAAATTGGAAGGTGAGTCCACCCTGGGTCCTTATGTCCAGGTAGCAATAACTGTCTGGAGTTGAGCTGGGGCTCTTTATACAAGGCATCTGTGTCCCAGGCTGCCAAGGTACCTCCTCTCCCTACAACTGATTCCTCTAACACTCAGGCAGAGGTGTTATTACCATTTCATGAAAATATCTCTAATTTAAAATACAGTCTCATGTGTATTTTAATATCATGTGTATTTCGACTGCATGACTATGTTTGTGACATAAATAAGTATAGATCAAATTTGATTACATATTTCTAGGGTTTCCTGCTTGAATGTAGTCAACTTTATTCATTCATGTGACTTAGCTGGCTTCTCTGTACAGAGTTAGAAGCTGAGGAAGTAGAAACTTGAAAGAAATCAGTGATGCCAAATAAAATAGAGCAGGCCAGAGAGTTGTAATATGGCTTTGGTGGTGTTCTATATCCCTTCTGGTGACCTGGATTAAACACCCACGCTATGAAGCCACCTAAGATAGTGGGATAAGGGCAGGTCGTTTGATAAGCATTTAGTGGGTGTCATGCCATATTAGGCATGTTACATATATCATCCCATGTAACACTCACAACACCACTAGGATGTACATATTGTTTTCCCCCTTGGTAAAAGAGGAAATAAAAGTTCAGAGAGGTTAAGGACTCTGTCTAACCTGCATAGCTAATAAGGGGCAGAGCCAGGCTTTGAACTCAAGTTTAATTCCAATGCCCACTGTTCTTTCCATGACACAAACCCACCTTCCAAGCAATAGATAGAGCAATTGAAAAGATGCAGTAAGGTGGAGACATTTGATTAAGACAATCAGTTTTAAAAAAAGAATGTTTCAACTACAAATGCCAATCAAAAATTCAAATAGAAGAAATCTACGGCGGCATATCAAAATGTAAGAGTGACAGTTTGAGAAAAAGTATAACCATATTCTGGACACTAAACATCAACCTAGTAGTAATGTTTTCTCTCTAATTTTCCAGAGCCTTATAGAATTTTAACTGTTTACAAAATATCTATTTACAGAGTTTTTGATGTACCTAAACACGATTTAGTATAAATGTGAAGGGGGAAAAGAATGAAATAATAAACAAAACTAGAAGAAATCTAGTGTTCAAAATAAGCCATCTGCTTAAGACTTCTGCTTTCTAAGAAAGGGAGGGAGTGTATGTTATTACTGAGTAATTTGGCTATTACTAGCTGGGCAAAAATTACGATCTCATACAAATGTGTTCTTGTTGAAAATGCTCAAATACTAATCATGATATATGTTATTGAATCAGCAACTATTGTAATTCTGAATCTGTTGTATATATTTTAGCTTATTTCTTGACTCTCTAAAGGATTCGGTCATATTCTCAAGTAACGTAGCTCTCATATTTTTTCTAGTTGGCAAATTTGAACTTCAGCAAGTCAGCTGGTTTTGCTTTTGATTCAAATAAGTAAGATTTATAAAGTGTTTCTTTCTATACTTTGTGTTATAACTCACTCTTTTATTGGATCTTAGATTGTCATTCAAATATAGTAAGATTGCTTTACTTTACTTGTTCAGAATTTATGATCTCTCAAGGAGAGACAGGCTGATATGAAAGGAAATCAATAGGGCAGACATGAGAAACTTCCAGTTTCTCCCAGTAAACTTGGGAACTGCTTTGTTAGCAAATGAGCCAAGTGACTACAAATAACATTTACATGTTATGAAAAAATATCTCCCTGATGAAAATTAGCTGTACAACAGTGTAGAGTTAAATGTAGTCTCAGACATGACATTTGAAAGTCTAGGTCAGAGACCTGAGAAATTATGTGATCCAGCCCCTGCCTTCAGACAGGTAAGGTATCCTCAACTGCTTTTTAGAAGTTCAGCAACTGAAGTCTTCAAGATAGGTACTTTGTTTATGCTAATAAAGCTTTATTGAAACAATGTGACTCTTTCCATTAGGTCTATGGACTTTCTTTCTATTTAGAGCAGATTTTTGTGGCCTCAGTAAATGTGTCATAAACTTCTTACATTCCAAAAAGCCAATGAGTCAACATAGCTATGTGACAAGCAAGCCATAGCTTTAAGGTACCATTTCCCAAATATGGCTAGTGTACGTAGTGTACATAGATATTCGGAGATGAGGCCAGCATAACTGTGAAGAATCACAGAAGTGTTGACTAGAAGGCATACAGGCTTAAAGTCACTGAGGCATATAGTCAGAGAGCTCCCATATATATCACCATGCTCAATACTTTAACTATACAGAGAGGGAAATTGAGACTGGGAAAGATTATTTCCCCAAAGACAGAGTGAAAGAACAGTGCTCACTCAAGGTTTGAATTAAGTACTCCCAACCCCTGGTCCAGTGCTCTTTCTATAATAATTAAGCTGCATCGTTCAAGAAAAAAAAAAGATTAAAAAATTTCTACATCTTTAAAAATGAAAAAAATTATCTGTATTTATGTTTGTAAAAAATAAAACCTGTTACCAATAGTATAACATGAGAGACTGGCTTTGATGTTTTTCATTATTATCTAAAAGGATATTTAACAAAATTGTAGTATTCCGGCTTGTATTAGACATTTGCCCTCTTCATTCGGGGAGTTTTCTTTGAATAGATTTTTAAAAGAAATAAAATTTTGTTAATTATTTCAAATGATTGGTTGATATAGATCAAGGCTGTAATAGCATTTTTTATATACTTCAGTTCCCTAAGGAAAATAATGGGTAGTCAAAAATATCCTAACCTATTGAAAAAGATCAAGTACATTAGAACCCCTTCCTTTTTTGCAACATCATCTATGTCTACATATTCCAAACAAAGATGAAAAGAACTGGATTATGTCAGGTTCTCAATTACTTTTTATTAATTTAAACACTGAGAGTAAATTAACAAGCTCTATGTATTAGTCATAGTCAAGGTTTGCCCCTGCCTTGTGAATGACCTGGGAATAGCTGAAGTGCTAAGCGTCTGGGAAAAGAAAACCAGGCCCAAATGTATAACCTTACAATTTCTAGATTTGCAGGTGCATTCTTAACGACACCTTTCCACAAACAGACATTATGCCTGGTACACTGTGTCATATGAACAAAAAGTAATTCAACTTTACGTGCAACACAGCGGAACCCTCAGCCTTGTCAATGTGAATAAATGTGTCCCAATGCTGAATATGCATGCACGAGGCAGCTTATTCATAACAGAACCTGAAATGTGTGTTAGTCAACGGCACAGAGCCAGTTTTACTGATAATGCCAGTAACAACAGAGAGCACTGTGTCCTACTGAAGAAGTCCCAAGAAAAAACAAAACCAACTCTTCAACTCACCGTTCCTGTTGTGCCCAATGAAAGATGATTCATCTGTTGTGTCAGGGGGCCCATCATGTTTGCTGGCTGCATTGACATAGGATGGTCCATTGTCGGCGTAATCACAGCACCCTACAAGCACACACAATGTCCATCTGAAAACAGGTTCCACAAGGAAGGAAGCTTAAAAAATAAGCACCGAGAACTGTCTTAACATCATACATGTTTGCTTTTTAATGAAAAGGCTAAGTTCAACCATGTATGGTTTTTACATCCACCCATGCCATTCTGTGCTTGTCTAAATACATAGCACTAGCGACCTCCTTTTCCTTATATCTACGATGTGTCTAAAATATTTATTGTTCACAATTTTAATAGTCAATATAGAATACTGCAAGTATCATATATATCTTCTTTCATTGTTCTAAATACAAACTTCTCTAACTGAAAAATATTAATACTATGGAGATTATTTAGTTTCCCTTGATACTGAATAAGACTTTTGACCTATGCCTTTATCCATGATTTATATGGTTAATTATTGATCACCTCTTTACAATCTAACACCAGGGGAATAATCCTGGCCCCGACAAGTTTCTTGACTGGATCTCTTTGAAAGACGGATTAAAATCTAATATAAATGATATAAAAATCAGAACTACTATTTTCCATGTTTTTTCCTTCTAATCTCTGACCTACTTTCTTTCTATCTGTGCTTTTGAAACAAGACAGAATACTGAACTCTGTTAAATGCTGGTCAAATGCTGCTAAAATCTTGGTGAAAAAAAAAGATCAAGCTTTTCATAAGGTGTTAGGAAAGGCCTACTTCTAGAATATGCTTTTTGATTTATTATAACTGTTGGGAATACAACAAGAAATAGACATTTTTTAAAACATCTGCTCATATACAAAGTTGCACATAGACAGTGCAACAAAGGACAAGCCCTTTCCTTTCCTCACCCTACTTATTCTGCCTTAATTGACTAGCCTAGAGAATGAAAGAATTTTTTTTAATTGAAAAGCTAGGGCTAGATAGAATCTTTGGGATTTCGAAGCTTTATTTTAAAGATGATGATATAGATAGAAACTCATGGTATAGAAACTAATTTAAATACCTAGTGGTAATAAAATATGTATCTGAATGCCATTTTTTTCCCTGTAAACATTTTTCTCACTATGTGACTTTTCCCCCCTGTATAAGTGAGTGTTTTGAAGGAATAAAACTTGGACAGATTCATGTAGATGGAAGGATCGTAGCACCCAAAATACCCATAAGCAAATGTTTCTTAGAATGTTTTGCTCAGGATGATCAACTCCTCCTGGTATTTATTATCCAAATCTAATTCCCTGACCGTATCTGTTAAAAGATCAGGCTCTCACTCATCATTCCTTTATGGGTTTCTCTTCATTAATATGGAAGGAGAAGAGAAATTGAGCCAAATATTTGGAAATGCTTGATTTTCAGAGCCAACATCATTTAAGGACATTTGTACTCTTGAGCTAGAATCAATCAGAAAAAAAATGTTATATTATAGATCTGTAGCTTCTAAATATACATGGCTGTGCATTTTTGTTGTTTTGATTTGATGCATCCATGAACTGTCATTCATCAGTATGCTTCTTGAATTAGAGACAGGATAAGGTAAACTTTTACTTAATTTTTCTTTTTCTTCCGGCTGCCTCAATTTCTTTAAACAAAATCACCTTACTTTTTCCTTAAAAAAAAAAAACTTTCTGTACCTTAATTTACAGTATTTGTTGTGACAGACCAGCAGTAAACACTTTAAGAAGAACTGGGTCCTTCTTAAATCACTTAGGGATATAAACTACAGAAAAACCTCAGAGAAAAGATGGAAGTTCTGAAGCATTTTTTTTTCAAGCAAGAAGAGGCATTTTCACAACATTCTAATCCTTAACAGGTGCAAGACTGCAATACTGTTCTTGAACTTGAAACTTAGACTACCTTCTTAGATTATTGCCCCTAGGGATCCCAGCAGCTAAACTGTCACAATCCCCAAAACCCCTCAATTGCAATAAACTTGCTCTTGCTCCATAAAGGAGTGTTCATCATAAATCAGAGATAAAGACCAAATTGTGTTTGGTAGAAGAACTTCCTTCTCAGTGCCCTAGAAGTGACCTCATTCTCCAGTGAGGCAGGAGGTAGACTTTAGTCTTTGTTTGGGAGGCAATATGCAAATGAATATGTGAGCAGATGACAGAGGAATCAAAATACATGCATGGTAAGAATAGAAGGACTGAATTGCCTGCATTTGGAATTAATTTAGGAAGGATTGTCTGGTCTCTTTACAGAATCCTTTCTTATAAAGTGTTTGGGGACTTATTTGATTACAGATGATACAGAGTGTTGCTTCTGTGGATAAACCAGAAACTGACAATCAAAGGGAAGAGAAGGAAGGGATTTCTCATAACTTAAAATAGTAAATAGCAGCAGTTGGCATAAAATGGAAAACAGTTAAGGGAAACATTCCTTTCCTAACCAGGACACTTATTGCAAATAAATGAACAATAAAATAAGGATTCTTGGGGAAGCACATGTATGAACATGCATTCTTGGATTCAGTAAATATGTTCAATGGAAAAAGGATTTCCACAAATTATTATTATTTTTAAAATTTTTCTATTATTTATTTCTGAGAGAGAGAGAGAGAGAGAGCAAGAGTAGGAGAGGAGCAGAGAGAGAGGGAGGCACAGAATCTGAAGCAGGCTCAGGCTCTGAGCTGTCAGCACAGAGCCCAATGTGGGGCTCCAACTCACGAATCAGGCAATCATGAGCTCAGCTGAAGTCGGATACTTCATCGACTGAGCCCCCCAGGTGCCCCTCCCTCAACTTATTAAGAATGTCAATTCCTTAATAGTTGCAAGGGATGAAAGAAATTTACAATCAGTGGGTAAAAGTTGGAAGTAGTATATAGAGAGACTTGACTGGGGACAGACAACTTAGAGAGTTTGAAGTACAGGTTATCTATAATCAAGATTGGAGTTCATCAGCCATTTCACTCATCAAAGATTACAGAATCTCCTTTGTGTTGTGCGGGACATTAAAAAAAGAAAGAAAGAAAGAAAAAGAACAAGGAGGAGGGAATGCAAAAGGAACAAAAAAGGAACAACAAAACCTTATGTTTCTTAAGGCAAAACTAGTTCTCCCAACCATAACTGCGCCTCATTAAATACACTGTCACATCCATTCCTATCCAATACATTTAAGCCATAGATTGAAGAGTGTTTTGTGACAAATGCTGCCAAAACATTAAGAGTAATTTCATTTACTCCAATGTATAGAATGTGCTATCTGACAGAGTTCACTTGGCAAATGGCAAAGCAAGAGGAAACAGATTTTTCATTTTAGCATCTCCGGATGTCTGGATTTGTTCAATGCTTAAGCTGCAGAGACAAATACTGTAACATGCTATAACTCCACTAAGAAGGCACAATGACCAAACAGCTGATGGGAATGTCTGTTCTATTTTAGCCACTGTCTCTGCAAAAACAAAGCTGTTAGCACTCAAGAGATGTGGGGTGGATCTGGTCACCCTAGTTCTGAAATAAACAATTTCAACAGCAATTTGGACAACGTTTTCAAAAATCATTGATGTAGAGTAAACGTATCTGAACGGAGGCCAGAAAAGCATCTGTGTTGTGAACCTTGTGTCAATAGTTCAAAGAAGTTTTAAGTATTGGAGAGTTCATCAGTATTTTAATTTCTCAACTGAAATACAGGATCCTTGGCAAATCCAGGAAAACATGTGCTAACTCTCTCCCAAGAAGAGCACAGACAGTGGGCTGTGTTCAGAGCAGGACATGGAATGCAATGAGAATTATCTCCATGAATGTACCTGTGAGTGTCAGTGTTCTAGAGCAGTGACACTTTAAGTATGATCCATACACAGGAGGCAGCGGCAGACCAAGAATTGGAATTAGAATCTCTGAGCTTTAGGGTCTTAGAATCTGTGTTTCCAAGAGCTTTCCAGTTGCTTCTGGTCTTCCCTGAAGTTTGAAAAGTGTGCTCTTGCTTATAAACTGCTACTGAATAGGCCAAGGTCATAGATACAATGTCTTAGATATAAACACTTGGTTTTTGTTTATTTATACTGTTACCCAATTATTTGTTTTAAACCAATCTTGTTGGGCATGATCATAACCATAATCACATTATATCTTGTTTAAAAATACAAAAAGGTCAAGCCTGATGACCAGACATGTCTCCATTTGACCAGTTTGCCTTACACTGTAGCATATTTGAGAATCTCTCCTATTAGGAACCTTAGTAAACCTTGAATTTGAAATCATAATAATGTAAAAGGTAAGAAAACTATTTGAATCATATAAGTGAAAAAGAAAAGAAAAGAGATATCACTCATCACTCTCTTTTTCCCTTTTCCTTAGCTTGAATTGTTGGTGGTCCATCCTATATTATTTTCCTATAGTGACTTATGCAAAATGTTAAGACTTTTTAATAGTAATACTTCAACATGAGTTTAAAACACCATGGTTTAAGGTAGTTTATCTTCTTTCTCCTCTGTATGTTTTCTGCTTCTCTGTCAGTTTATTTTTGTATTTCTAGAATAAATATGCAGTAAATTTTGTGTACCCCAACCTATTTTAGTACATGTGAAATGGAGTGCAGAGAATAATGGAGCCCAATGTTAGCAACAGTTATTTCATAATATAAATGGCATGAAGGTATATCATTTCACTTTGGGGAAAAGCTACCCAAATGCAGTGCCCTGCAATGTTGGTGTGCAACACTCCTTTTTTTAAAAAAATAATGTTTATTTATTTTTGAGAAAGAGAAAGAGACACACGAGCTCTTTCTCTTATAGAGAGAACACAAAATCTGAAGTAGGCTCTAGGCTCTGAGCTGTCTACACAGAGTCAAGATGATATGTCTGAAACTCAACTAACTGAGCTACCCAGGCATCCCAACATTTCTTATAATACATGTAGAGATGTTTAATTTTTTTCATCTGTTGATGTTGGCATGTTTTTGTTGTTATTGTTTCCTTTTATTAAATTTTTTCCTTCCTCCCTCCCTCCCTTCCTCCCTTCCTTCCTTCCTTCCTTCCTTCCTTCCTTCCTTCCTTCCTTCCTTTCTTCCTTTCGTTCTTTCTTCT